CGGGTATTGTCTGGGTGACGGTTTAATCGAAAGTTTAATATTGCTGAAAATTATTTAATTTAATAATTTGTTCAATATTGCTGAAAATTATTACAAAAAATGTTTGTTATATTAGTTTTATATTTTTTATAGTATTTTGGTGCATAATAATATTATTATATACCGGGTGTTTTTCAAAACCCGCTCACACCTATAATTTTTTCATTTTTACAAATAAACAAATGAAATTTGGTGTGCTAATTTATGACCCGGATGTGCAGACCGGAAGTGACCATAACTTTCTTATTTTAAATGTGATGCCAGGTATATTTTCTCTTATTTCAATAGAAAACTACATTATGAGTACAATGACACCTCATTTGTCATTTTTTGACATTTTATGTCCAGATTATTTAAATTTTCACTTTTCAATCTAGAGCACCATGACTTAGTTAAAATGCTCAAATTTGCTCCAAGGAACCTGGGAAAATTTGTTTTGATCTTATTTTGTATTTTATGTCCTCTATAGACACATTTAAAAATAGTTGAAGCGTGTTTTTGGAATTATATCAATTTTTTCAAATCAAATGGAAAGGGTGTGGCTCATCAGCATATTCCGAAAGAGCATTTTCTAAGGAACAATTTAGTACCACACAATCGCTAGTTCATTACTCAAATTAGGGAATTTTCTAGCATTATAAATATTTTTGGGAAAATTCATTTCAATATTAGGATAAACTAGCGATTGTGTGATACTGAATTGTTCGTTAGAAAATGCTCTTCCGGAATATGCTAATGAGGCACACCCTTTCCATATGAAACAATTGATATAATTCCAAAAATGCGCTTCTACCATTTTTAATCAAGTCTGTAGAGGATATAAAATACAAAATAAGATCAAAGCAAATTTTTCCAGGTTCCTTGGAGCAAAATTAAGCATTTTAACTGATTGACAGCGCTCTAGATCGAAAAGTGAAAAAATAAATAATCTGGAATTAAAATGTCAGAAAGTGACAAATGAGGTGCCATTATACTCGCAATGTAGTTTTCTATTGAAATAAGGGAAAATATTCCTGGCTTCACATTCAAAATAAGAAAGTTAGGGTCACTCCCGGTCGAACCGGAAGTGATGAAAAACAATTGCATACGTCAAATAATGCACTTACGAGTCATAAATAAACACACCAAATTTCATTTGCTTATTTGAAAAAATAAAAAAGTTATAGGGGTGAGTGGGTTTTGAAAAACACCCGGTATATGATGTTTTTGGGTATATGCGTGTATAGTCTGGGTGACGGTTTAATAATTAACTAAGCTTTAGGATTCGAGAGAAGTAAATTATCTAATATTCTGATACACCACTGTCAAAAAGCTTAAGTAAATTAGCTTGTTTTTCTCGTTATCAGTATTTTAAATACTGATTTGAGAAATGTTTAACAATATTGTATTTATGTATTTGTTGGAATAAATGATTTTAAAAAAAAAAGTTACTGGAGCCAAAAATTTAAAAGATTTTGTATCAAAAGGATCGTTTCTGATTGGAAGAACTAGTAGATGGTTTTTGGAAAATAAATTGCTGTTAAACGAAAATAAAACGAACATCTTGCTATTCAGAAAGAAACAATGTAATATTGATAGACCATTAACAGTAAATATTGGAGACATACACTGGCCTAGTTGAAGATACAAAATTTTTAGGAACTCATGTGGATGAGTTTACCACACATAAACACTAAATTTCTGCTTTCTATCTATGATAGAAATAAGTAATTATTATTCAAAGTGTTCAAAGATTCTTGTCAAAAGCAAATGGTCTAAGGACCGATACTTTCGCTCTCGATTAAGGAATTTGATACGTCTATAAGTATATGATGTGGTTAGAGCACATTCAAACCCCTGATCATTTTTAACGGCTGTCAAATGAGAGCAAAAGTACGGGCACTAAAATGGTCAAATTTAAATTATTAGTTTTTTTTTGTGGAGATTTCCACTTTAGACGATCAATTGGGACCCCAGAAACTCCATACAGTGATTTATTGTGGGATTTGCAGCCGAAATCTTTTGATAAAGGACCTCAAAAAAATTGAAAAATCCAAAAATTCACCCCAAATTCCTTAACAAGTTTTTTTCTCAGGAAGTATAACTCCAAATGAGTTGAAATTTTGCAAGGTTTGTAGTCCTCTACTATGATAGGAATTGCTGGAAATTTCAGATTTCTATCTATGATAGAAAAAAAGTTATGATTTTCAAAGTTTAAAAAAATGCATGTCCAAAGGGGTCTTACTTTCAAAATGGACAAATTTCAATTTTTTTTGTGTAGTGATACCGACTCTAGACCATCATTTGGAACCCCAGAAACTACATACGCATACAGTGATTTATTGTAGGATTTGAAGTGGAAATCTTTAAAAAAAGGACTTTGTATCACAACATACTTGTCTCGATAGGTACTTGTCAACAATTTAGCAAATAAGTGATTTTGTAGGCCTACATAATCATTGTTATTATTTCCTTGGGAACAGTGTTTCTAAGATTGATTTAAGAGCAGATTTAACATTGATGATATTGAAATATTCCAAAACAGTTGAACTTAGATAATAAAATTTAAGTACTAAAATGTTTGGAATTAGAAACCCTCCAAAATGATTATCACTTGACCCCCCTTCCCATTTAAGATTTTCTATGGGGTTGGCCTGGGGGCTGGAGGGTGGAAAGGTGAATTTTGCATAAAAACTCATCCCCCTTCAAATTATAGTTGAAATGTTTCAGGGATTTTTTTGAAAATTTTTCAACTACAAGATAATAGGGGTTTTTAATTTTTAAAATGAACACCCTGTATATGGTACAGTGAAATATCAATGATCGACATTTTTAATGAGATTTTTACGGCCATTTGCACCGCTATAGCTTACGGGATATTTATTTCAAGTAGAGCTTTGAATGTGACTCTTGTAAAAACAAAAGTCACATTCAAAGCTCCACTTAGATTAAATATCCCTTAAGTGATAGCCGTGCAAATGACCATTAATGTCCCAAATAAGCTTACATCTGGGGCCTTATTCTGTAAGGAACGAACCTTTCGATTCGGTAAAATTTCTTCGATTGTGACGTCATTTTTGATTTTCGTGCTACCAAACCGAAAATGACATCACAATCGAAGAAATTCTACCGAATCGAACGGTTCGTTCTTTACAGAATAAGGCCCCTGGTCTGGATAACATACCTCAAGGCATACCTAATTTTTTTTAAAAAAAATGTGTTTGCACAATAATTCTCATGCCCTTGTCCTTTTTTTTTTAACCGAATTTTCAACCAATCTCTGTCGTCTTCAGCTTTCCCAATTATTTGGAAAAAAAAGTAATACTCAAGACTCGACTCAAGATAAAACTGTTATTGTTCCAACTTTGAAAAGTGGAAAAAGAAACAACATAGAAAATTATTGTTGCATATATGTTAACAATCTGCTATACCAAAAGTCTTTGATTGTCTGATCACCAAACAAATCACATGGCAATGTAGAGGCCTTATTATCCAAGAACACCATGGTTTTTCTAGAAACAAGTCTACTATGATAAACTTAACAACATATTAACAAGGTATTCTTTATGCCATGGAAGACAAAAAGCAAATAGATTCCATCTACATGGACTTTTCCAAGGTCTTTGATTTGGTAGATCACACAATTTTACTTGACAAACTGCTTTTGGTGGGTTTCAATTTGGATTTTTTGCTATAGTGGAAAAGTTCATTGACACAGTGTACTCAACCAGTAAAGATGCGGTTGAGGATGCAGTGTTATTACTGACACAATCACAATTTCACCTGGCGTTCCCCAAGAGAGCCATAGCTCACCTCTTTTGTTTAACATTTTTGTGAACGATAAGTATAGTTGATTGTTTTGTAAACAGCCAGTGCTCCATGTTTGTTTCAAGAGGATTTAAATTGGTTGTCAGATTGGTGTGAAACGAAGAAAATTTTCTTTAATGTCAAAAAATGCCCCTCGGGCAACTTATGAACCCTCGGGCCAGAGGCCCTCGGCTTTGTGAGACTGTCGCCCTCAGGGCATAATCATCTACTTAATACCCTTGATACATAAATAACTATTATTTGAGACACTTTGTTCTAAAATGTCATAAAAAAGGTATAGTCCCGGGTATAGTGGGTGCCATTTTTACCAATAACCTTTTACCTTAGACCTAAGAACATATTTGGCGTGCCGGGCCCCTACGGAACCCGGGCCCTGGTAATTTATACCGGCCGTACCCCCCTATGCATAGCCCTGCTTGTGACTTACTACTGAGCTCACTACCTTCCTAGAAATTTATGTGGCTATATTGATATTGATGATTATAATTTGAACTACAATGCACTCATGCAGACGGAAAAAACCCATATATGTATGTACTAGTTCCTAATAGCAAAGTTTACTAATAGAGACTGAATTGCATATTATTATTTATGTGTATTTTTTTGTTGTTAATTTTATGAATTTAAGTGTTGATACTTAATCTCGTACTTAATGCTTTCAAGATACTGAGATTAGTGAGATTCCGAGTGAGATTCTTTTCCTTACCTACTTATGGTTGTTTTCAAGTATTTTTAGTTTTCTTTTATATAACCAACTCCTTGACCAACTCATAATACCTACTTGGGAATTGTATATAAGTCTCAATATAAGTATTTATTGAGGTTCTTATAATTGGTAATAAAGTTTTCAAAAAAGAAATGTTTACTTACAGCTAAATGTAAGGTTGTGCAGTTTTATAATAATGTAAAAGTGCAAATTTACCCAAGAATTTACCATTATCCCTTGTAAGACATTTTTGGAAAATATTCCATATTTAAATAAGAAATTGATCAGAGAAATCTTGGAGGAAACATCCTGAATTAAAATGAGATTTGGGTGTTTAAGAATGATCTTTGAAAAAAAGAGCATGTATTTTATACACTACATGTAGTTTTCGAGGCAGTTTTACTTAGGAGCAAGTACTTCAGAATACATAATTTAGAAAATCTCTTACCTTCTTCTCTAGACAAAGTGGAATCATCTGGAGAAAGGGTGTCCGAGGGCCCGGCCCCATCATACAATATAGCACTGCACCTAGTTTCCCTTAACCGAGTAAAATAATCTGCCGCATACGATATCACATCCCCCGGCTGTTCCAGAAGATAGCTTATCGTAAATTCGAGCAGGGCCTCTCTGAGTGCGTCTGGAACTTGCACTCGGGCTCCCACTTCACCACCTCGACTCATGCTATCTTGTTTTCTCGTAATTTTGAATGAGTTTTAATCCGCAAGGGTTGAAATGAAGGTTTCTAGTTAAAAACCAACCCTAAGATTAATTTTTAAAATAATGTCACTGGAACACAGCCATAATTTAGCATCTATGAGAGGGAAAATGTTTATGAAATTCGTCCTATTTATCCACCAATTTCACTTTCAATCAGTCACAGGATCCACACACTAAATACACTCTGGATGAAAACTGACCTGGATTTAAATGCTAATATCCCACCAGGACAAACTTAATTCAAAAGAAATTTTGATATTTCTTGGTCCCAGTAGAGTCACTGCATAATTTAACGAGGATTTTAAGTTTTTCAAAGGCGTATCTATTTACCTGGGACCCTTTTTTGTAAATTCGATCAATGATTAATGATCGGATCGGCTGACGACTGACAGCCGCGAGCTCTAGGTGACAGCACAGGTGGAAAATTCGTAACAGCCAATGTTGCCAATTCGCCTTGTTAGTGTATTACAGTTTATTAAAAAAAAGTTTATTTCCAGCAAAAATTAATCCGAAAGTGCCTTTAATAATTAAGTTTGGCTGTTCAATGGTTAATTTGCATAAAATGTTTTGTTTTAAGTGTAATTTATCAGAAATAAAATTTGCCTGCCGGTGTTTTGTTAAAGATTTTTTCGGGTAGCTGGCAACGATGTAAGAGCCTGCGCAAAAATTGATTGAATCGGAAAATCTTGGTTCAATAGAATAGAGACCTACAGGGTGATCAAACTTCAATTAATTAAAATACCAATTAAGTTGTCCAATTTTACATCAATTAATTTTCCTTTTGATTTTCCCTCTATTTTACACTAACAAAATAGTATATTCAGATACAAGTTGAAATTTATTGCTGGATGAACGAATGAGTGCGAGAATAGCCTTCTGAATCGTGAGTTTTATCATCATTTTTTTTTTTAATTTCTTTGGTCGGCGTCACAGGCGTTAAAAATGTCGGCGAAATGTCACTCACAAAATTATAGGACCCGATTATTCATCATTCGATTCTTTTGTGATCGAGCTTTCGTGCTCCCCCAGCAGGATTGCTCATCGGCCTCGATTATTGGAATGAAGGTCATATGATGGTGTTGCACCGTTGTCGACGTCATGAAAGGTGTCGTGAGCTGTTTGCGCCAGCAGGTGAGTTCCGACCCGGGGGTGCAGGGTGTACGGCGCACACGGGTAAATTCGAGCTCGGAGAATCTAGATCATAATACCGAACGCACGGTAAGGATTGCTTATCGGCCTCGTTTTTGGCATTCGCCGCCATATTGGTGTATCACCATTCATTGCCACATCATAACATAATAGGGAATTTTCATATTTCTCAATTTTTTTTTTTTAGATACTTCTAGTGATCACTGATCAGATATTACATAGTTTTCTTTTTTTCCATCTTAATCTATACGTTGCAGGATTTTTTTTTAATTGAAATTCAAATTAGAAACTTTGGCGCGAAAACGTGAGGAATCAATATGACAGCGCTCGTGATGTCAAAATTTTGTAAACAACAAACGCAGCAAACGAACTCCTGCTGTCGCAGTGCTAGTTTTTGTGTTATTCAAGTGTGTTTAGGTTTGCTTTTTGTGAAAATTGTCGCATGGATGAAGAATAATGTAAAGGACTGATTTTGTAAATTTTATTTCACTTGCAAGTTTCCTATTGACAGGTTCGTTTACAAAATCGTGACGTCAAAAAAGGTAGCCATCATGGAAGCATCGTTTTGGCGGGAATTTTTTTTATTTCAAATTAGGCATTATTTTTTGTGTAACAAGGGCGGTATCATAATCCTCTCTCTTTAATTCCGTGTTAACTAACCCTGAATTAATCCCAGGCCTGGATTAAGGGGGGTTCTACCGATTCTATAGAACCGGGCCCAACGTTCCAAGGGGCCCTCGCGAGATTGAAGATCAGAAAAAAAAAATTGAACTTGAATATACAATAAACATTGCAAAAATTCTCCCAAAAGCTGGCTTAACAAGATTATAAACCATCAGCCATATTGAATCACACCATAGCTTAAAGCAACTGAACCTGGGGGCAGATTACGAACTCTCGATTCGAACCGAAACCGCCATGGATTTCGAACGCATTCTGATGCATTTGCATGGAGTGCGTTCGAAATCCATGGCGGTTTCGGTTCGAATCGAGAGTTCGTAATTCGCGCCAAAAAGAGCAAATTTTGACAGATGTTACGTGATTTGACACATAAAAAAAGATAAGTGATCACGTGATGTCTGTCAAAATTGGTCGCAGATGCAACTAATTTCGACGTGAGGATTTTTTTTCTCTTCGAAGACGAATTGACCTTTTCAATTTAGAATCCTCTCTCTCTCTGGCATCAAACTGTCAGACGCCAAAAGAGCATGAAAACAATGATTGACAGCCGTTGACAGTGGTTTGTTGACAAGACTTTAATACGTATGGAGACTGGAAACTATTATTTCCTCGGTTTTTTCAAAGTTTTTTCCTAACAATGGTAATTGTGTGTAGTTTGTCTTTTCATGAAAATAATTCCTATTCACCGGCGGACGTGTCTTTCCATAAGTTTTTATCAAATCCTACATTTGTCAAAGTTTGGATACACAAAATCAGAAAGGATACTCGCAAAAAAAAGGGAAATCCACGGCTCATCAAGTATACAAAGTTAATTCACGTTCAAGTTTAGTTTGCGGAAGCTGTTTACTTCCCATATTCTGTTTACTTCCCACATTCTCTTTCCAATTTCAAATTTCACCATTCTATGTCGGTCATTGTCATTTTTAATTCACTAAACAAAGATACCTACTCATCGGTGAAGTCCCGATTAGACAGGGGATTGCTAAACCTTCAATACACATTGACATTGACAAGCAAGCAAACGTTGGCGGGAAGATGATTATTTTCATACTTTATCGTCCATCTCTTTTAATTGAAAACGTCAATTCAAAAAAATCAAGCAATAAGAGCACAGAACTGACAAATCTGAAATCTAAATCTCATTCTTCAACGATAGGCAATTTTTCGCGAGGATAATCAAGCATAATTTTATGCTGGATTACGTGATAATAGCTGCTGTCTTTTTAGGGGCTTGGGCGCCCTGGATCACGTTTTTAACATGTAAACCACCACACAATCGGGGCATCAAGCCCCGGGGTCGCCTATCCTGCTTCAGTGAGGCGTCGAAGCTCAGTGTCAGATAATTATGTCCCTATATTTCTTAGGTAGTTATAGGTACATCCTTTCATTAGTTGTATTCCTTTCACAGTGTTTGTTGCATCATGCATATGTTCCCTGCAAATCGGGGGCGACTAAGCACCGAAGCGAGTAGCTCGAGTGTTTCAAGCTCTTGAAAGGAATACAACTATAATCAACATTATGGGAACATTTTCTAAAGAATTATTTTCCATTTGATTTGAATAATTTTAATTTTACACAGGACAGGACAGCAGGACCATGACACATAATTTGAGGTTAGATTTTTGAACATTTGAACACAGATTTTGATCTTTAAGATGATGTGCCCCAGGGCATCGAAGCCTAGGGTTTGGAAGCTCTGAAAAGAAAGCACCTTAACTGCTTTTATTTCAGGGGCTTAGGTGCCCCAGAGCGTCCTGGATCACGATTTTGAAATGTAAACAACCGTTCTTTTTGAGCGGGGCATCAAGCCTCGGGGTCGTCTATCCCCACCGTTCTTTTCAGAGCCTGCGCTGACGTGCCATAGGGGGTCGAAGCCGGGTTTCAAAGCTCTGAAAAGAAAGCACCTAATGTGTCAATTGTGTCATACTTCCCTAACTTTCCAACCATCAAATTCTGGGATACTCGAGGATCAACTTAATTTCTTCTGTGAGAACAGACCGAAAATAACCTTTATACATTTAAAATCGACGAAAGAATTAACTCACTAGCACAGCCTGAATCGCAAGCATTCCATTGAGGTCTGCGGGCAACGTCATCACTATAAGCTGCTGATAGTGAGTGACGTCAGGGGAGTATGACAGAATTGACACATCACAATCAGGGGGCGGATTACGAACTCTCGATTCGAACCGAAACCGCCATGGATTTCGAACGCATTCTGATGCATTTGCATAGAGTGCGTTCGCAATCCATGGCGGTTTCGGTTCGAATCGAGAGTTCGTAATGCGCCCCCTGATTATGCTGGATTATGTGATGTGTCAATTGTGTCATACTCCCCTAATTTCCTCTCCATCAAATTCTGGGCCTGCGAATGAAATCACTATCAGAAGCTTATAGTGATGACGTCACCAGCAGACCTCGATGGAATGCTTGCGATTCAGGCTGTGCTTGTTATTTAATTTCTTCGTCGATTTTAAATGTAGAAAAGGTGAATTTTGGTCTATTCTAACAGAAGAAATTGTTCTTGATCCTCGAGTCTCGAGTATCCCAGAGTTTGATGTTGGGGGAGTTAAGGGGTACAAATGACACCTCACATAATCCAGCAAAAGATTATGCTTGGTTATCCTCGCGAAAAATTGCCTTATGTTTGATTATCCTCGCGAAAAATTGCCTGATTTTGCGTGACATTCACACCAAATTCGAGAATAGTTAAGAAGTACATGGAGAAGGCTACATATTCCTACACGAATTAGAATTTTGGCTACGAGTGACGAAAGGAGCTAGTGGATGAATGAATGAGTGTGAAAATACCTTTCTGCAACATCAGTTTTATCCTTGATTTTGGATTTTATTTATAATTTTTTAGAAAATTTTTGTGGTCGCTGTTAGTTGGGGATTTTTCTTATTGCAAAATGCATCGGTTTAAATTAACTTCGTGACAGCTTGACAGAAAAACGTTACTACCATGATGCACTAAGCTCTAAAAGTGAGAAAAATTTGAAGTGCTCTTGCGTTTGATATCTTTTAGCTTAGGTACCATAACTCGAAAATGGCTCATTGAATTTTTTTGTGCCAATGATAATTTTTGTTTAGAATGTCTAGGAGAACATATATATTATATATCTAAATTTCAGACAATTTCACCAAAAGCCATTTTCCATAAGATTAGTGCGGGGTCCTTTGTTTCATTAGTTGTATTACTTTCAACTTTAGGAGTAGCTCCGGGGCGTTACGCGCTTATTCCTTTCGAAAAGTGTTTATTGCACCTGAAGTGCTCAACCCCGAACTTAACCATTTAAATGCACGAAAGCCATCGCATCTGTTCCTATCAAATCGGGGTCGAGTAACACCGGAGCAAGTAGCTCTAGTGATAACTCTTGAAAGGAATACACCTATTTATCAAACGACACATAAAATTTAGTGATCATGTTGGAAACAAGCCTTTTATTCATAAAATATTTGAAAGCATTGACAATTTCACATTGTATTGCCAACATAATGTCATTTTGACTTTTATCTTTAAAAAAAAAGACGTGAAAAAGACTTTACAAAGTTTCATGGAAACTTATTCCTCCAGTGTGTCACTTGCCTTAATGTGACGTCATAAGTATGCTTAGTTCTGATACAAGAATTTTAAATCGAATCAATAAATTGCGCCTATTTTCAAAAAAAAGGCTCCTTCATAAATGCTTGAATAATAATTATTATTAGATAATTACATGCCTTTTCAATTGAGTTTATTCAAACCCCATGTAAATGATACAAATTGAAATAAATCACACACATAATACAAATTTATTTTAAAAAAATCAAAGAATACATTATGTCTTGCCTGGAAATTAACCCACCCACAACAGAAGAGTTTACCTCTTAAATCACAATTATGTTGAGGTTCAAAACTAATAAATCAATATAATGCATAAAAACCACCTTATTACAAGAAATTCAATAAAATTAATCACATACATTCAACCATGGCTAAAGTTAAGCTATTTTTAAAAAAAAATTAATGACAATAATGTAACAAGAAGTTAGCCAAGAGAAAAAGTACTGGTCCTAAAACATTTATTTTAACTATTAAATTCTTTCAAAATCCCAATAATTATTTAAACACCCTGTATCCAGTAATTAGATATTTCTTACACACAATCTTTTTTAACTCTAAAAGCAATTTAAAGCTAATAATTAATAAGAGTTAAAGCAATTTACTAATCTAGTGGATTTAATTATTAATCACTATACATTAGGTATTTAAAAAGGAATCTATTAACTAAAAAATTGGGTATTTAATTAGCTCCAGATTTTATTTGGTATCAGATCTTTCCAAAAAGCTTCAAACAATATTTTAACTGGGTTTTAATTACTATGAATACAAAAAAAAAAAACTGAAACATTCACCTATTAATTGCCTGCAAACAATATTTTGAACGAACAATTTTTGTCTAATTAAATAGCTAAACCATATACAGAAACAATACAAAACATGGACTTATTTTCCCAACGGACAGTGCAACTTCCATCAGTATTATTATCCCAATAGCACGAACTGGCTGTATGTAGTCCAGCTCCGTTTTTCTGCATAATCGTGCAAGTTACTATGTATTTGTAGGGTTTCATAAGTTTGGTCAGTTCGGAGGTGCAAGCTTCAACAACAGCAGTGGTCCAGTTGTTTACTTTGTTTTGTTGATAGCTGTTGCCTCCTATCACCGATTCGATGGCGTCTTTGATTATTTTACTCACGTCGTCTACGACGAATTGTCCTTCTTCTTGTAGGTCTTGCTCCAGAGCTTCCTGGGCGTTTTTGTCCATGGTTTGTTGTTTATTTCGAATCTGGAAAGATGATGTTTTTTGGTTTATGTAGCTGAAAAAAGTTCTACTATGGAAAATATGAAATGCTAGGATTTAGGTGAGTTATCGTGAATGTTTTTTTTTTATAAAATATTTACCAAACTCAGTAAAAATTCGTATAATCACATAAATTTATAGTTTTTTCAAATGTTATGATTCACACTCTGGCACCTGGCACTGACAACGACAACTGACTCAACTCACCTGACACGTTGACAGTTACCTGACAAAAGCAGTAAGCGTTTTCATCGTGCACCCGTAGTGTAGTCCTTAGTAACAGAACAATATAGCTGGGTTCTGGATGGCCGAGCGGAGCTGGAATAGAGTTGGAGTGGCGTTTTTATCACGTCACCAAAAGGCTTTTGGAGTAGATTACTGAACCCCGAGACTGAGTGAAACCGAACAGAAGGTGCATTTTGAGCACTTATTTGGAGTTTCTTTATTTTAACTAACCCTAAAAACTGAAAATTATTAGCCGCTTTGCAGCTGTGTGCTTCAAGCACGGTGCAGCACAGTGTTCTGTGTTTGAAACGCAAAAGTTAGCAACTCTCGAAGCACAGTACGGCTGGAACACGAACACGCGCTTGAAGCATTTGCGCGCGCAAAAGCTCGATTTCGTGCTCAAAAGCGTCAGCGTCTTTTCTGAGTTTTCTATTTCTTTTGTTATTGGCCAGGCTAATTAAAGATAAAATATTATTTCTTTGTTGCCTGTTGCCTGTCGATTAGATTAGTCGAAACTCTACCATTGTCCTGAACAAAAAAATTAGAAAGAGATAGATGATACCAAAAATCACGAAAATAACGAACATACTGATAATAGCCGCTTTCCAGCTGACCATTTTGAGCACGCAATCGAGCTTTTGCGCTCGCAAATGCTTCAAGCGCGTGTTCGTGTTCCAGCCGTACTGCGCTTCGAGAGCTGCTAACTTTTGCGTTTCAAACACAGAGCACTGTGCTGCACCGTGCTTGAAGCACAAACACAATGTCAGCTGGAAAGCGGCTTATGCCTTCTCTGGCGCTTGCTAATGACGAGGTGTTGATTTCAAAGATTGAAAAAGAGATAGCGCGATTGGGATTCAATCGAGAATCGAGACTGCCCCTAGAACAAATTTCGACGACCGACGTCAAGTTAATTACTTGTAATAGGTTTCTGGTGATTGCAAACAGATGACGTCATAAGGTAGCTTTCATGGAGATTTGCATTATGTTTAGGCATACCGATGACGTCATAAAATCTATTTGTCAACCTTCCTCTTTTAGCAACCCTGATCCAAACCACAAATACCAGGGCTAGGATCGCTACAATTAGAATTCCACTTTTATGACGTCACCCCCGACCTATTTTGTCGCGTAGTATAGGCGATGATGACGGTTGCTGGGCAACTTGACCTCATGAAAGTAGAATTCTACTTGTCTTGATCCGTGATCCCAGCCCAAGATTCAACATTTTCGCATTTTCGGCTTTTCTACTTCCAGAGCGCTCCCCGTCTGGGCGGTGACGTCACAGATCTCTGCGGGAGTGCTCCGAGTGCGATTTCAATCCAAATGAGAGCACACGAGTACGCCATTCAAAATCAATAGCTGAACGGCGAACGCACTCTTGAACGGTTCTCCCTCAAAATTTGACTGCCTGTAAACCTCGATGCAATGAACTAAACAAACACACAAAAACGAATTTTTATTTCTACGTAAGGGTTTGTGCCATGAAGGACAACAAACAAGACGGATTTGCATCTTTCTCTGCAGTATGGCGGCTATAAAGTTGTATTCCTTTCACACCTAGCAGGAGCTCCGGAACAGCTCTGGGGCTTTACGCACCTATTCTTTTCGAAAAGTGTTTGTTGCATCTGAGCACTCAAGCCCGAAGCAAACCATTTAAATGCATGAAAACCAGCGCATCTGTTCCTTTCAAATCGGGGTCGACTAACACCGGAGCGAGTAGCCCTAGTGTTTTAAACTCTTGAAAGGAATACAACTAATGAGGAGCTGTTTGAAGTGTTTGGATCATTGAGGTTAGGAAGATGAAGAATTTCTTTCTCTTCTTTCTTTCACATTAATTACAATGAGCGCGAGTGAGATAATAATCTCACCGTATTGTTGGGTTGTATATATCAAAATTTGGCACACTAGCATAAAGCAGTGTGCCTGTTCCAGAGTGTTTGTTTAGTTCAATGCTTCGATGATCCATCGAATTTAACGGAGTAAGAAAGAGTGCTCCGTGCGAGATTTGAGAACCTTCTAGTCACGTGAAATTAGCCGAGAGCAACGATTCGTTTTAAACCGAACATGTGAATTCTTTTCGGATCGCTTTTTGATCAATCGGATGCAGTTTTGAGCAAGGACCCGGGCCGAAATGGAATATCGGTTCCGTTCCGGTTCCGATCCAGTCATGACCAATATCGGTTCCGGTTCTAAGAGAAATATTTCGATTCGGTTCGGACCAATAATTTCGGTTTTAACGGTTCATACCGGTATATTTTTTCACAAATATCTAATGGAAAAATGAAAGTTTCTGTAATTAGTGGAGGCCAAAGTACCAAGGTGATTCAATATGGCTGTTTAGGTGAAATATTTTGGCGACTTTCATAAGAAAAGCATTTGTGTTGCCCTTAGGGTGGGTATTATATAAAACTACTTTGGGAGTTAACTTGAAGTTAACTTTTGGAATAACATGTAATTCAAAAAGTTAACTTCAAGTTAACTGTCAAAGCAGTTTTATAATACCCACCCTTAGAAGCCGAACATGACAATGCCAATGTCAACCCCAAACGTCGAATGTGACAAAATAAGTAATTTTTTATTGATTTTTATCAGTAACCTCTAAACTTGAACCTAGATGTAAACAACACGACACAGTGCTGGACCCTAACGGCCATATTGAATTTTGTTTGACAGGTCAATGTGTTGCTAATTAACATTCTAAAACGACCCTTGTTTAGCTCTCGTTTGCATATTATATTAATCAAAATTAAATAATATTCTGCATCATAAATATGTATATTCTCAATACGACTGCTGGCGTAAACCGCTTACGACACTAGAGAGTTTTCGTTGCCTTTTAAAAGCGATTCCGATAGCCGCTATTTGACAAATTTGACATTTAAGCTATCATTTATCGTTATCGATACCGATAAGTGCCGGGAGCTTACGGACGGAAGACAAAACCACAGCGAAAACGAAAAGCATGCGTATTTCCTATGTTTTTGTTGTGGTTTGTTTTTGTTTTTAAATGTTTTTGGTTTTCGAAATAGATTCAATACTAAATTCCCTCAAAAGATTGAAAAATCGTTTCACGGATGATGCACGGATGTTCCATCCTGAAAATCTCGCACTATTTTTTATAATTCTGGCCACATAATTTTTTAAGTACAAGCCCTGATGAAGCCCTAAACTTTTGGGCGAAACGTTGGCAAAGACTTGACAGGCCTATTATTTCTTGTCCTAACCGACGAATTACCCCCCTTCATTGGATATAGGACATGAACTTCTCTTTATCATTTACTATTTTATTAGAAGAAATATTGGCCAACAACCCATATGACGATGCATCTATATAGGCTTTTGTAGTAGCCAATTTTGTAAATCCCACAGGGAAAATTAATGAATTTTGGGTACTAGGAAATTAAAACAAAGTACAAAACGTATATATAAACACAATGATAAACACAAACCATTAAAGAAAGGTTATGTTTGTCGAATTCGACTTAACGTTAACGTTAAGCGGATTGAACGAAAACTATTTTTACGATCTGTCAAATAGCGACTTTGTTTTCGTATTCGTTATGGTTAACCGTTCGAATTTGGCAATACAACGAAAACTCTCTACTGCTGAAACCGCTAACGACACCATTGCGTTGATGACGTCGAGAACGGTGCAGATGAGCAATCCTATCCTGCCTGTAGTAGTGGAATATTCTTGGTGCAGCCTAGCTAAGTTCAGACATTCGCGCTTTCCCACGCTCTGTTTTTTAGAGTGAGATTTATCTAATTTATGAAATCTTGAAACCGAAAAATACCGGTAAGAACCGATTAATTTATATCGGTTCCGGTTTTGCCTGCCTTACAACATTTCTATGAAAATGATGGGTTCTGTTCCGGTTCCGATCCGCAAAAGAAAAACGGTACCGTTCCGGTTTTCGGTTCAATATCGTTCCGTTCCGGGTACCTAGTTTTGAGGCAAAAGTCGAAAGCGCTATGCCTTCAAGTAATCGGTTTGTCCCATTGGGAAAATGATGCGGCACTTTTTGATCATGTTTGGTCGTTCCTGTAACTGTATATTCCGTGCGTTCGGTACTTTGATCTGAGTTCTCCGAGTTTCAATTTACCGTTCGTTTATTTAAAAAGTGTACTCGGTGCAGGCTCATTCGCGTTCGTTTATTAAAATTTCTGGCACTCTGACACAGCGTTCAACTGCTCTGGGGTGCGATTTTCAAAACCATTTGAGTACATTTCGTACACCAAATTTGACTGACAGCAATGTAAATTAAATGGGGAGCAGTTAAATTTCGTGTACGAAATGTACTCAAATGGTTTCGAAAATCGCACTCCTGTTCGCTCGCTGGTTACGTGATTACGGGCGCGTTTGGTTTCACGCTCGGTGCGCTCAGAGTTTGCACTTTTGTCTCTTTTCCGTTATTTTTGAAGCTCCGACAACGCTTGATTGTGTTTGGTTTGACATATTTTGAGCGCTCCGAGCGAGCTCGATAAACTCCGAGTTTGTGGAATGGGCAGGTGGAGCGTGCATGCGCAGAAATAACAATGTTTAATCTGTCTAGTATCTGGATAGTTTTAGCTATTTTGTTTAAATAGTTGTATTCCTTTCAAGGGTTTGAAACACTCGAGCTACTCGCTCCGGTGTTTAGTCGCTCCCGATTTGCAGGGAACAGATGCGTGGTGTAACAAACACTTTTCGAAAGGAATAAGCGCGTGAAGCACCGGAGCTGTTCCGGAGCTCGTCCTAGGTGTGAGAGGAATACAACTAATGTTAACAATTATGCAGAATAAATTCTGCATAATTGTGTGCTTTGAATCAAATTTTTGCGGTAGTCCTCATCACTGGTATATTGAACATATTTTTCCGAGGGAACTTGGCATCCGTGGTTAGGTCCATTATTAGGTGGGATCGGCTTGCTCACTCCGTGCACTCCGAGTGACTCCATTCGTACTCCAGCCGTTCGGGTTAAGGTTCGGGTATTGCTTTTTACCGTATTAGGGGAGACTCCATTTGCTCTGTTCACTCCACTCCAACTCCGCGCTGATTAGCCGAACCCAGCGATTGTATATGTAGCACGACATTTCTAGCAGAACATAAAAGAAAATGGGGCTGTTTAAAAATTATCCACTATAATTAAAAACAAACGAGAAAACTCGGGTGCAAATGCGGAACACGGACTCGGACTCCAAAAAAACATATCCTATAATTTTAGACAAATTTGCACTCATGCGTTTTTAACTGAAAAAAGCACTCGTGCACTTTGTGCACTCGTGCTCTTTTTCAACTAAAAATGCATTCGGGCAAATTTCCCAAAAATTATCAATAATTTCCATTGCACTAGTTATATTACTA